GCATCAGAGTGGAGCAGCTATGTGGAGCAGTTTTGCCACAGAGGCCTGAAAATCACGTTGATCACTGTTCCTTTCCAGCTTGTGCTGCTGATTTCTCACACAAAATTAGGAAGCCCTAGAATCTCCTTCTGCAAAACAAAGATGATTAAAATAATCTTCCTGCCTTTGGTTTTAGCTGCTGAAGTGCTGGGAGCACTGCTCCTCACACAGCCTTTAGCTGTGGTTCTCACAGCGCTGTGGCCATTTGGGGCTTTGAGTCTCCTGGTCCTTTGTCTGATAACCATCGACCTGAGCTAAAGGTTTGAGTTAGCAGGCACCACTACAGTAGAAAAGCAGCACTGAAAGGCTGTCAGTGCAGTCCATACTTCCTGTATTGATAACATTTGACATATAATGGCAATATCCTTCATCTATTGACAAGTTGAGCTGCATCGTTTTGCCTGAGAGAGGAGCAGGCACGCTGGTTCTGCTCAGCCTGTTCACATTACTTTCTCTAGTTTTGCTTTTCTTTCCTGAGCCAAAAAAAAATAAGGGGGATAATAGAATGTATTTATTTCCTTCCTAGAAGAGATCAGTTAATGTGAAATGGTGCGTGGTGGCTTAGTGCTGGAGACGTCGGATACCCTGATCCAGCAAGGTATCCTTGTTCTATTGTGTGCCTTTTCTGCATACCATCTGGAGTTGTTCTTTGCTTAGTATTTTCAGTATGTACCATATGTTTTTGCATGAAAATTCAATAAAATATGCATTATACATGAAAAGTGCTGTAGTAAATAAAGAAAAGATGGAATCCAGTCCCCTTTGTGAACGACAGGGGCCCCAAATCTTCATGAAAGGTTTAGTCTAGTCTGACGTCTGTGCTTTCCTCCAGTTTACTCTGTGTCAGTCTTTGGGAGATGCTCTAATTTAAAACAAAACTCCACTTTCCTGATGAGGTTATTCAGTGTTCTGTGGCTGCCCTCTGCTGAGAGCACTGAATAAGACAGGGAAAATGTCCTTTTTCCGAGCAAGGTAACGGTGGAAGAAATTGCCTGTGTGTCCATGTGCTGAGTTGTCTCACTGCTGTTGGTGGTTGTCTGTGGTTTGGTGTCTCTCGTCTGTTTGCTGCCAGTCAGAGAGCAAAGTCATCTGAGCTACAGCCCTGTCCGGGTTTCGGTGCCCACTACTCATGTCAAGGGCTGGATGGTTTTGTTGGCTTATGAAAATGCGAGCTCAGGCACCGACCAGCATTGCACAGGGGATGGCCACAGGAGTAAACAGGTTTCTCTGCCCAGGCACTGTTGCAGTCCTGCCAGGTGAGCTCTGAGCTGCACCTCAGCCCCTGCCCTGAGGCAGCAGAGCAGCACCGCATGCTGTTCCTCACTCGTTTCCTCTGGTGCCATCTCCATCCCTCCACAGCCAGCACAGCATGAGCACTTTGTTTCTATAACTGGGAAAACACAAAGGGTTTGTTCTAACATCAACAAGAGTAATTCAAGGACTTGCTGTCTCTTGTGAACAAAGTGTGAGCCATGCTCTTGGTTTGGGAAGAGAGAAGGGTCCTGTGCAGACTTTGGTACACAATAGCTCTGTTGTAGCTGTCAATGCTCTCTGAAATGACCTGGCTTTAGTACTTCCTAGCAAGCTGATTTATTATTCACTCTTCAGCTGGGCTATGCACCAGAGCCTTCTGACGATGAAAGGAATGTTATACACACATCTAATTGCTGCCCACATTTTTGTGTAATTTTATCATTTACTGTTTTAGATGAGACATTGAATTCTTCTACAGGAAAGATGCCCAGTAAAAAACAGACGACTGAAAATCTAATCTGAGTTTGGCACTTAAATGTGAGAAAATGTAATTGTTCCTTTCTTCCTGCCCTTTCAGATTGTCCCTGACTACCAAAATGTGCAAGAGCTCCCTTATCTGGACATGGTGATTGCAGAGACGTTGCGCATGTACCCACCAGCATTCAGGTATTGTTTTCTTCCTTCTGATTCTGCAGGATAGATACCTAGCTCTAGAAATCTGGAAATCTGCTGTTGGAAGACCAATAGGCTCTTAGTGTTTGTGCCAACATCTTTAGTTCTTTGTGGCTGTGAAAGATATAATGCAGCCTAGTGAAGAAAAGCTGGCTAGTGCTGGCATTTCTAAACACTTTTTACAGCAGGGTGGCCAAGAAAGCTTCCTCACCGTTCTTCACATCACCCAGGGTTAGAGGATGGAGCCATTCTGCAGCATGTCTGGCCTCAGAAAGTCAGTGCTGCTGCAGACCAAAGACCTGCCCCAGGCTGCTGGTGGTTGAGGCACTGCTCTGTGGAAGGGTTGCTGTTTCCCGTGTGTGTTTGTCCTAGGTCCATTTTCACTTAGCACTTCATTGCACTCATATAGCTAAGCTAATGGCAACATCCATTAACTTTTGAGAGTTTCACACAAAACTAATTCTACTCTATTGATGAACTGAAAATGAGACGGGGGAAAAAAGCTGTTTGATTGTTAAAGTTCCAAGTTATCACAAGCATAATGCAGATGCTAAGGAATGGAACTTTTCAAAGTGATCAGCTAGTTGCACTGCTTCTCATGAAGCCAGGGGAAAAATTCAGATGACTGGAAAGGAGCCAAGGCTGAGCTCGCTGTGAGAGCCTTTGAAAAATTTAACCCATGATTGCAAGCACCTTAAAATAAAAAAAGCTTGAAATCTTGTTCTCTTCTATGGGTTCATAAAGATCAGAAGTCAAGATTTTTTCCATGGACACCTGCAGAGAGTAAATGCCAAAGATATTTGCTCCTGGATGAGATGACTGGGCTTTGCTCTGTTGTACATAGTATTTAAGTGGAAACTGTTGTGCTGGTTGAAGTGTCAGAGGTCTCTGAGTTTCGGCTGTACCACTGGGAAACAACCAGTGCTTGTGAGATGGGAAACAGGAAGAGAGTGGAGCAGAGCTGTTCCGAAGTTTCGGTTGGCATTGTCAGTGGTGTGTATTGATCTGCCTTTTACTCTGATGGATGTGGAATGGATGGAACAGCTCAGTGCCGCTGAGAAATGTTAATTGCCCATGACAAGGATAATGCTGAGTTAGGGGAAAACTCAGCAGCAGCCAAGTTTGTTATAAAATGAGTTGTGGTGTTGGTTTCTATCCCGAGGGCTTTCTTCCCCAGAACTCGTGTTCCCACTATCACCAAATTCATGTAAGGATGAGAGGGGTAGCTTGACAGTGTGTTTTTTAGCATGACAGAGTTTTGTTGGAGCTTCTGTTATTTGTCTATGAGGAAGCGAGATGGGTGACACTGAGGAAAGAATGTGTTTCTGTAATGATACCTGGCTGACAGCCCTGAAACCAAAATCTTTGTTTAATGCCTTTAGGCAGAGCATGGGAGCAGGAATAGGAGCTCCTGCTTGTCGTTTCAGCCCTGTGCTTGCAGTTGGTGCCAGGGAACAGCTTCCAGACTGACCCATCTGGGTCTGAGCTGGTTTGGGACCTGTAGTGACCACCCAAACACCAAGAGATCCAGATCAGAACCTCAGATCCACCACACATGCACACCCACACACAGTTTCTGGTAAGGTCTGCAGATTCCAGCTCAGCTGTGTCAGGAGGTTTGCTCAGTCTTCTTGTCACAACGAGGATAAGGACAGTCTGGCTCTGTCACCCATCACCACACGGTGGAAGGAGTGCAGAGTTTCGTTGCTAAAACCATACCTGTCTGTGATGGGTGTATGTGAAATGCAGTGTTTCTAGGCTTGTGAACTGGTTGTATTTTTGTAGTAGTAGCAGCAGCAGCAGAACACTTAGCATTGATATTAAACCATCCCTCGCTAAGTTTCAAGTGCTATACCAACTTGGGGCAGCTTCTCAAATAAACAAACCCAGAGCTGTATTTGGTATCTTTCTTTACCTGAAAACAAACCAGCACACTCTTTATACATGTTACTAGAGATGAGTGATGCATTTCAGCAGCAGTTTCCATAAAAAATTAGTCCAAGACCAACACTAGCAGCAAAGCTGCAGATGAAAAGCTAATGCTTTGAACGATGATACACAACCACAAGTGCTTCCCTGTGAAAAGGGCAGAGGTTAGCCAGCTGGGCTGGAGCTATAGGCATCTAGGTGGGGATGGTTATAACCTGAGGAGACACTAACATTAGCGCCAGTTGTTGCCTTCATCTGCTGAGAAAGTGTCACCCCAGAAATTGTAGGTCAGTCCAGCTGAAGAGATGTACTTTTAAGGGTCTCTCCTGCTGTGTTTTTAGCCTTTATTAATCATCTGGAAACTTACTGTTGCAGATTCACTCGGGAAGCAGCTAAAGACTGCATAGTGCTAGGGCAGCATATTCCAGCTGGAGCTGTCATTGAAACCGCAGTTGGACACCTCCACCACAACCCTGAGTTCTGGCCAGAGCCTGAGAAGTTCATTCCTGAGAGGTACGTGGAGCAATGCTTCCCATTCCTAGGCTGAAGTCCTTATTTGGGCCTGTCTTCAGTGCTGTTTCATGTGTTAGGGTGGGCACAGAACTCCAGCCTGTCCAGTGGAGTCACCAGGTCCTGCTGCTCTCTCACAGTCACCCACTAATCATCCAAAGCAGTATTTCCACCAGGAGGAGAGCAGTTTCATTTAGACCATAAAATATGTTATTTCTACCAGATTAGACCAGTGATGATAGTGGCATATCCCACAGAGGGTGAGAGGTTCGGTCAAGGTTGACGTGCACAGATTTTCAGACCTGGTTCCAAATCAGATGCTGTGAATAATGTTGTTTCTGGATGCAGAAATCCTAAAGTGAGATAGTATACTCACAGGCATGGATGTACCTGGGAAACTCATCTAGCTCCTTTTCACCTGAGACCCTGTAATGGTGTGGGCACACTGTGAGTGGGGAACTTACCGATCTCCCACTGGGAATTTGCTCTGTCTTTACACAGAGATTTAGGATCCTTGTTAGGTCCTTGGTTGTTGCTTGGCAAGACACATGGAGCTTTTATGCTCTTCAGTCGGTTGGGGGGACAGTCAAGTCATGGTTTTGTACCATGCCCTGTCTTACAGATGCTGAACGGAGCTCACAGCTCACAGTTGGTGTGGTGCAGGCTGGAAGCACAATTTGGTTTTGTAGGCAGCTACATTTTTAAGCTGTTTTGTTGGCAGATGCATCCTAAGCTACCACTACATTGAGAAGTCTACTGAGAAAAAAAGTGCCTGCTCCACACACAGCTGGGTGTGAGTCAGGCAGCCCAGAACCATCTCTGCCAGTAGGACAAGACGTGTGTGGTGTGTGTGGGTTTGCCTAGTGCTCCACCTGGAACAAATCTTGGCGTATACTCTCAAGCACTTCTGGCCATGAAGAGGAGCAATTCCAGGGTTAGAGCTTTTGCTGGAGAGGCATCTTTGCAGTTACTGGAAGTCTGGGGTGGGTTTTTTAGCAACACCTATCTAGAAATGCTTTCTTAGTTGTTTATTCAGCACTCTAACTGAAGTGTGAAAGCACATTATGGTGTAACATGGAGAGTGAGGCTGCAGCTCCCTTGATTCATACAGTGCTGTTTGTTACGGATCTGAGATTAATTCCTCTTCGAAATTTCCCTGAGGAATGATGCATAATTACTACCCCTTTCCTCAGCTTGTGTCAGTGGGTAATGTTAGTAAGAATTATAAAATAAGATCTTAACAAAAACCAGTTAAGCTACAGCCTTTCCCCCCCTAATATTTCATTTTGAAATCAGCCTTAGGAATAACACAAGGGAGACTTTAAATTTCCCAGAATCATATATGGGGTGAGCAAGGCAAGAATTGCATGAACCTGTTTGCATGGGATACACAACAGTGCTTAGCACATGAGTTAATGGTCCTTGTATCTCCAATTATGGGCTCTTATAGGGCTTTCTGGAGTGGCATCTTGATCTTATTTAGGATGTCTAAGCATGGGGATGGAATTAGTAGAAATACACAATATTATTTTCTTCCAAAGCTCAAAATAGCCTGTGTTACCTCTCATCTCCTTCTACCCTGCATGAGTTCTCTGGGCCTTTAGAGCAAAGTTCTTGCAAACAGTATCCATAAAGATGAGAAATTTTCAGGGATGACTGAGGGACAGAGCTGGAAAAGTAGTTCAGTACTACCAGAACAGCTCCAAACATCTTATGGCATGGGAGGACTATGTAGATTTCCAGGGTGATGCCATCACTGCAAAGGTTTGACTATTTTGAGGCACCACTGATCGATGATTCAGCATGGGGCAGGAGAAGCCTCACCACAATGACTGTGCATTGGGCCTAATAATTCCTTTTACTGGTTCAGACTTTGCATTCTTGTCTGTACGTTTCTGTCCAGTAGATATCCTTCTTTGTAGGTGCTGGCAAACAGATTTGACTTTTTCTCTCCTTTGAACTGCAGTTCAGATAGGAATTTTGTTTCTTTCCTTGTGGGAAAAAGAACAACAAAATTAAAAAGGGGCTCATTTCTACTGGGCTGATCAAGTGTTTTAAAGCTGATGCAGATCTGCATAAAGACTGACACATAAATCAGTTTTTCCAATTGGACTGAGGTAGAGATGGCTCTAAGAACATAACCGTCTGCAATTTAGATGCTTCCCAACTGGGAACATGGTCCCCTTAGGCCAAGGGCAGAAAGAAGGGCTGTACTGAATTCTAGTAACCATCTTCCATGGCCTGTCCAGTGCTATGAGGTTTCAGCCCCCTTGCAAGCTTCAGAGAGCAATTCCTGTTGCTCTGCATCTGCAGAGCACAACAAGGAAGGATAATTCTAGTTAGTTCACATTGCAGCCCATTAGGTTCCTCTTAGCTGTCATTTCTCCCTCACACATAAAGGTCCAGACAGCTGAGCATGAAGTTATCATTCTTCTGGTCCTCAAGTGAAGATAATTCATTAAGTTGATTGTAAGTAATCCCCAAGTCTGCTTGTCCTCCTGAAATCACTAGCTGACAAAGGCTGATGGACAGAAGTCAATTGTCTGTTTACTTAAGATGTCAAGATATAATCTGTCAATAGTCATGTTGACCTGTCCATTAAGACCCATTGAAATAACCACCTTTTGAGGTTTAAATGAAAAACACGGAATCAGGAGCAAAAAGTATTTCTTGAGCTGGTTCCCATCTCTGCACCTTCTAGGTTTACAGAGGAGGCCAAGAAGAAACGACACCCCTTTGCATACCTGCCCTTCGGGGCAGGACCCCGTGGCTGCATTGGCATGGAAATGGGTTTGTTGGAGACAAAAATGACCCTGCTGAGGATTTTGCAGAAGTTTCAATTCAAGACTTGCCCAGAGACTGAGGTTTGTACATTCAGAGGCTTAAGGATAACACTTGTCAGCTTGAGGGAGTCAACAGTGTCTTAGACAAGATGACTGATTTGCCTTTGTAACTTCTTCATTTGAGAAAACTGCTAGAGCCACTTCTGTAATAAGGAAGGACAAGAGGCCTGGACTGCAATTTTTAATTGCAGTATGATTTAAGATTTATGATTTTTCCAACAAAACAAACGGTTGCACAGCCCTGCCTTAGTGCAGAGCAATATGGCAAGACCGCAGTAAAAAATGCCTTGATTTACAGAGGATAAGAATGGGTGTACATATTTCATGGGATCTCAGCACATCAGTATATGCCTAGTGCTCTGTGCAATGCACCTGGCACTCACTCAGCAGCTCTAGAGTTTGCAGAGTTAATTTCTTTTTGTTCAGATCTGCAGTGTACCTGGGCAACCACTGCCACAGCCTCTGGCTGCAGATTCTGTTTCATACTACACTACCATAGCTGACTGTAAAACAAGTACTTTGCAGCTTCCACAGCAATCCTGCTCTGAACTGGTCCCCCAGCAAAAATGTCTGTCTGTATGTGAGGGTGTTAGACACATACAAACACTTACAGCTGTACGTAAGATGCTCTTTTTTCTTTCAGATTCCTTTGCAGCTCAAATCAAAAGCCACACTCGGACCAAAGAATGGGGTCTACATTCTGCTAGAATCTCGCTAGAAGAAAACGTGCCTCCTGAAGCCTTCAGGAGTGAGACCCTTTGCCAGTAACTCACTGGGCCTAATTATTTTTCAAAACCCCAAAGACAAGTAGGAGCCCAAATCCCACGGATGGCCAGTAGGTGCTGCCCACTGCCCTCCTGTGGGAGAGTCTCCCGTCACTTTTTAAATGGGCTCCACTGTCTCTTTTGGTGGTTTCCAAATCACAGTGAATAGCACCTGTAAAGAAGATCTCACTTTCCCTTGCTTTTCTGCACAACACTTTCACTCAACTTTGAGAATGCTTCCCCCATGCTCAAGCAGGAGTTAAGCAACTTAGAGTAGATTTTAATGGCAATTCATTAGATGACACATCCTCTTCACACACAAGTCCCTACTCTAGAGGAGGCTCAAGAGGCATCAGTTACAGCTGAAGACCTGGGATGCAGTTCATTGGATTTCATAATGAACTCCATGAAGACTGCTGCACAATGCTTAATCTCTCTCTGTGTCTGCAAAGGAAGGACTTGCACCTCCTTCATGCTTTGAAGTGATTTGAAATACACCTAGGTTAACAATCTGCACTTGGCACGTTGCATTGACAAGACGTGGAATGAAGAGTTCCCCTGCTTCCCAATTAAGTTCCAGTTGCTAAGACCACTTTGCTGGTTACTGAACTGTTGGAAATGTGGAGAAAAGGAAGACATGAACGTAAAGTAAGCAGGAGGACTGGAGGAAAGGTGTTGGTGCAACATCTACTTCATGTTGAGACCTTTCCTTTCCAAGCACTGCAGTTGTCACCATCCTTATCTAGCTCCTTGACTCAAGGAAATTAGGAGCATGGATACACTAGAGCAAATGGCAAAGGAGTGGGATCCAGGATCTTCAGTCCCTCCAGCTCTTCACTCATTGTGTGACCCTGGAGCAGGTCATGTCCCAGGTGCCTCACTCCATTCAGGAAGGAACTTGTCTGGCTGGCAGCTGCAGCAGCAACATGGATTCATTCAATGGATGTCTGTACATCCATCTTCACAACCAAAACAGCTGTACATTTCTGCCTAGGTAATTTTCTTCACAGCAGTGTAGGGCTCTACTTTGGATTTGTCTTTCATTATATGTCTTTCAGGGAAGCTGCAGAGGGACTCTGTGTTAGGAGCTGCAGTGACAGGACAAGGGGCAATGAGGACAAATTGAAGGAGGAGAAATTTAGGTTGGCTATGAAGGGATTTCTTCCCTGTGAGGGTGGTGAGACACTGGCACAGGCTGCCCAGGGAGGCTGCAACCCTGGCAGTGTTCACAGCCAGGTTGGCTGAGCCTTGAGCAACCTGCTCTGGTGGGAGGTGTCCCTGCCCAGGGCAGGGGGTGGGGCTGAACAATCTCTAAGGTCCAGTCCATTCCAATAACACCCTATGATTCTGTGATTAGCAGTGCTTGAACAGTCAAGGCCTTTTCTTCTCCTTACACCACTCTATCAGTGAGGAGACTGGGGGTGCACAAGAAGTTGGGAGGGGACACAGCTGGGACAGGTGACCCTCACTGACCACAGGGACATTACATGCCTTATGGCATCACGCTGAGAGTATAAAGCTGTGGGAAGAAGAAGGAAGTGGGGCAAACGTGATTAGCAGTGCTTGAACAGTCAAGGCCTTTTCTTCTCCTTACACCACTCTATCAGTGAGGAGACTGGGGGTGCACAAGAAGTTGGGAGGGGACACAGCTGGGACAGGTGACCCTCACTGACCACAGGGACATTACATGCCTTATGGCATCACGCTGAGAGTATAAAGCTGTGGGAAGAAGAAGGAAGTGGGGCAAACTGGGGAGTGATGGCGTTTGACTTCGCAAGTCACCGTTCCATGTGCTGGAGCCCTGATTTCCTGGGGATGGTTGAATACCTCCTGCCCATGGGAAGTGGTGAATGAATTCTTGTTTTGTTTGTGGCTTTTGCTTTACCTATTAAAGTACCTTTATCTAAACCCACATACTCCAGGCTGAGCAGCATTTCTGCAACTTCCACTTGCCCTCTGGCCCACTGGCAATGATTTCTAAGCAACAAAGTGCAAGTCTCCTCCAAGCCAAGCAGCACTGAGCATACCCCCATAGCTAGTATGTGCTACCCACCCACCCAAGCCTCTTGTATCCACCACCCTGTTCTCTGCCAGCTGCAGGTATCCCAACCAGTGTACTGTCGCTACATTGCTGCTGCCACTTAGACAGGATTTTGACATCCAGATCTCATAAAATCAGGCAGAAGATCATGACAATCCTGATTACAGGTAAAGCTCATTAACTGGTGCAGTGAGTCTGGCTGCCAGAACCCTTCCCAGCCCAGATCAGGAGTTCAGAAACTCCAGTGCTGCACTGCTGGCACAGCAAACTGTTTGGCTTCTCCTGGCTTGGCTGGCTGTCTGGCCAGAGTGGACCTGGTACCCAAAAAGGAAACAACCTTCACAGCTTATCCTTCTCTTCATGTGGTGCAGGAGTGAGATTTTACACTCTTCCTGCTCAGCTTCTTAAGCAGCCAAGAGGCATCCTCCTCACTCAGAAAAGAGGTTCAGTATCACTGTTTGCTTAAGGTTTAGATTCAATACAAACATCTCTTTAATCCATTCACTTCCAAATTCAATTCAAACCACTGGAAAGGGACTCCACTGCTTAACAACAGCATCTTTGAGAGTTTCCAAAAACTCACAAGTGTATTGAAACATGGTACCACATCACTCTTTTCTGTGAAGAATTTCTTCCCAGAAAGGGTGATTAGACAATGGAATGTGCTGCCCAGGGAGGTGGTGGAGTCACCATCCCTGGAGGTGTTTAAAGACGGACTGAATGTGGCACCTAGTGTCATGGTCTAGTTGGCATGGTGGTGTTACATCATAGGTTGGACTTGATGATCTCAGAAGTCCTTTCCAAACTGATTCTGTGAGTTGTCAGCACAGTGAAAGTCATGAAAAACACAGACATAAAATGCAGCATTTATTTGACAGAGTAAGTCAAGCAAGTCAGAGCACCAAGCAATTCTTGTTACACTTGTATCTTTGGTACTTGTTTTAAATTAGGAAATTAACAAGTGAAAATAAGTCTCTGTTCAACAAACAGGTTTAATTTTTGAGGCTTTGTTGGTGAAGATTAAGTAAGGAGAAAAAAAAGAGTGCTACAAGGATTTATGGAATGAGTTGAGCACAGAGATTGTACAATCTCAACTGCAAACACCTGAGTCTACTGCTACAGGAGACAGATCACTAAAACAACTCAGGTTTTACCAAGTTGCGATCTAAAGAGGTAGAGGGACGTTGCCTCTGACCAATGAGCAGGTGGAAAAATCTATCCTTTGTTAAAACCTGGCAATCATGGCCAATCCTCATGCTAAAACCGTCAGCAATTTCTTATAACAGATTGATAAAAGTCTCTAGTAATGTAGGG